TGACAACACCGTTTGGTCTGTTTGAATTTTTGAAGATGCCGTTCGGGCTGAGAAATGCCGCACAGACTTTTCAAAGGTTCGCCGATAGTGTTCTGAGAGGGCTACCTTTTGTCCACGCATACATTGACGACATACTAATAGCCAGCAAAACCCTCGAAGAACACAGAAGCCATGTAGAACAAGTCCTTCAACGACTGCAAGACAACGGACTAACCATCAACCCATCCAAACGCGAATGGGCCAAATCATCCACAACATTCCTGGGGCATCAACTCGACAGTGAAGGCATTAGACCCCTCGACAACAAAGTACAGGCAATCATCAATTTTGCTGAACCAACGACTGACAAGCAACTACGCCAATTCATCGGAATGATCAATTTTTACCGTCGATTAATCCCTAAATCTAAATTGCTTAACGATATTTTCACCTCTCACTGACGTTTTAACTGGCAAATCAAAAACCATAAAATTTAACAAAGGGCAGCAACAAAGTTTTAGAGAGGCCAAACAGGCATTACTAGCGGCAACCAAGTTATGGTACGTTCAAGAGAAAGGCACCTTTCAACTTTTCACAGACGCTTCAGACGTTGCTGCGGGAGCAGTACTAGAACAGAAAAGTCAGGGGATTGCAAGACCTATAGCCTTTTTTTCGCAAAAATTTAACCCAGCACAGACCTGCTACAGCACATTTGGTCGAGAACTGCTGGCAATGTATTCAGCTGTCCGCCATTTTCAACACTTCCTCGAAGGTCGAAAGTTCACAATATTCACTGATCATAAACCATTGACGTTCGCTTTACGTTCAGATTCAAGTCGTTTAACATCAAGAGAGATCAGACATCTGGATTACATCTCACAGTTCACAACAGACATTTGACACGTGAAAGGAGAAAACAACGTTGTGGCTGATGCGCTATCACGTACAGAGGTAGCCACGATAACGCCAAAAGCAATTAACCTGGAGGAGATGTCGAAAGAACAGGAGGATGATGCAACACTCCTTGACAACACAGACTCACTAAAAATCAGCATAATTACAGTCAACAACTCAGAAAACAATATCGTCGTCGACACCTCGTTAGGCACCCCTCGTCCTTAGTTCCAACAAGCATGCGGAAATCAGTTTTTCTGAATTTCCATTCCCTGTCACATCCAGGAGCGAAAGCAACATCGAAATTAATTAGAACCAGGTATGTTTGGCCCCACATTGATAAAGACATCCGTAACTGGTGCAGAGAGTGTCTGCAATGTCAACGCAGCAAAGTACATCGACATACGGCTTCACGTCCAGCAGAATTCCCTCCACCAAGCAACAGGTTTCAACACATACACATCGATTTAGTTGGACCAATGTCTTTATCAGATGGACACACACACATTTTAACGTGTGTCGATCGTTTCACCAGATGGCCAGTAGCAATCCCCATCAAAAATACTTCAACGGAAACAATAGTAGATAAATTATTTTCAAACTGGATTTCGTTGTATGGCGTCCCAGAAACCATTACAACAGACAGAGGCAGCCAGTTTACATCTTTTTCTTTCAAGAGATTCGTCCAGTTACTGAACATTAAACATATTCACACCACCGCCTACCACCCGGCAGCCAACGGTATGGTGGAACGATTGCATAGACAGCTTAAGGCCTCACTTATGGCTCACGGTTCAGACAAATGGTCGGATGTATTACCAGTGACACTATTAGGCATTCGTGTAACGGAGAAGGAAGACCTAAAGTTGTCACCAGCAGAACTTGTTTACGGCACAACACTCCGCCTTCCCGGAGATTTTCCAAACCCACGGCCAGAGACAACCGATGTACACACCTATGCATTAAAAATCAAATGCTGGGCGGAGACCCTAAAAGCAACACAACCAAGAACAAGTACAAATGTGAGTTACATTCCAAAAGACCTCTTCACTACAGAACAGGTCTTTATTCGTACGGATGCTCACCGCTCACCACTACAACCTCAATACGAGGGACCCTACACAGTGGTAGAACGACACCCAAAATATTTCGTCATTGACAAAGAGGGGCATAGGGGCACGGTGGCAATAGACCGCCTCAAACCCGCATACTCACCGGCACCATCAATACCGTCACCCATGCCAACGACCACAGCGACGACACCACCTTCTACAACACCTTCAACAAAATTAATTCCGTCGTCGAACGACACATCAGCATCAACAAAAACGTCAACGCTATCTCCACCAACGAACGAGGACATGCCAACAACAGAAACATCTACGTCGACACAAGCACACCCAAATCGATCCATGGACACCAACATTCCATCACCTCGGAGAACCACAAGATCGAGAAGAACAGTTCACCTCCCATCTCGATATCTTGATTAGCATCGATCAACAGCTTGCGCTGATGATCTGGTAGGGGAATATTGTTGAACCACACATCCCTAATCTGAGCATGTGACGAATTACTATATATAGATTCAACACAAAAACAACAGCCCTTCTTCCTGCGACATTTTACGATCGAACTTCTCTTGGTCTAATTGCATTGCCGAACACGTTTTCATTTATTTTGTATTACGTAAATAAATACGTTATAAACATTCTTACTTGTTGTTTCTTATATCTAAACAAACTCGCAACAAACCATTCATAATGACCATTCACCGCTTCATTTGTTCTCACGTATTATAGTATTAGGTGCTGAAGTCGAGATTCAGTGTCAATAAAAAAGCTAAAAATTTTGGCTTGAAATGTTGTAGGTTTATGATGGCTCTTAAATGGGGATGTACAAGTTCTGTCCAAATTTTAGGACCAGTTCTTTTTATGCTTGTCTGGATTAACTTGAGGCGGGTTTTGTAGATGTAGAAGAAATGGGTGTAGATTGGATGGAGTTGCTCAATGTGTATAAGTTGATAAAGTGAGGTGGGAAAAGATTGTTGATAAATTTAAAAACGAATAATGCAGAGCAGTAAAGGTAGATGAAGTGGTAAAAATTTTTTTGCTATGAAGAAAGGTTTAGTATGAGAATAGGGTTTGAGGTAAAAAATTAAACGTATAGATATTTTGGGAGAATATAAAATTATTCAGGTGGCTTTTGGACTATTTACCCATAGTGTGATGCAGTAGGTTATATAAGGGTAAATGAATGTATAATAAAGCTTGTGTAGAGCAGAAAGAGAGAGTTTATATTTGATTTTGTAGAAGATGCCAATGAGTTTGTTGATTTTGTCTGAGATAGTTTGTAGGTGAGAATTCCATGAGAGATTTTCTGTGATTGTGATTCCAAGAAATTTGGTTGACAGGGTGCAGTTTATAGAGACGCCATTAATTACTAGATTTAAGTTAGGAGCTTGGTTGGTGAGTATTTTGGGAAAAAAGATAATGTATACACATTTCGAATAATTTATGATTAGTTTGTTATTGGATGATCAGTTAGAGTATTTTTGGAGTTCGAGATTGATAAGTTCAGAGCAGTCAGGTAGGTTGTTAGAAGTGAAAAGGAGGTTGGTATCGTCTGCAAACAGTACGCATTTGGTTGAAGGCGAAACGTTGCAGAGGTCATTTATGTAGATAGAAAATAGAAGGGGTCCGAGTATGGACCCTTGTGGTACGCCGTAATAAAAAGAAGCATGCTTTGAATTGATGTTGTCCATAGAAATATATTGTGTCCGTGATGAAAGATAGCTTCTCATCCAGTTGTGAGTTGTGCCTCTTACTACGTAATGATGTAGTTTGTATAAGAGTATTTTGTGATCGATGACATCAAAGGCTTTGGATAAGACTAGAAAAATGCTAACAGAAAGATTATTGTTGCTCATTTCATTTAGTATATGCTGAGTGAAGTCAAAAATGGCAAGCTCAGTTGAGTGGTTGGGTCTGAATCCGTATTGGTTGTTGGAGGTAGTTTTACTGGAGCAGAAGAAATTAGAGTCTTTTAAAAAAAAAGTTTTTTAAAAATTTTTGACAGCGGGGAAAGAATGAAGATGGGTCTGTAGTTATCAATGCCATCTTTGTTTTCTTTCTTAAATACTAGTATGATTTTGGATATTTTAAATGAGTCAGGAAAGATTCCAGTGCTTAGTGATAAGTTGAAGATATGATTAAGTGGTGATACGATATTCTCACCATATGATTAAGTGGTAATACAAAATTCTTACCATATATATATATTAGTAGTATATATATATTATATTATATATATATATATATATATAATATATATATATTAAAAATTCTTTGATACTTACAGGTAAAATGTATTAATTATAAGTATAGGTACTGAAAAAGTACTTAAGTGTACGTATTTAAGTATAAATTTTCATATGTACTAAAGTATAAGTATCTAAGTATTACATACGTACTTAAGTACAAAATATTTGTCATCATTGCAATTTCCTATACTTTTATATAAACAGATAACATATGCTTATAAGTGCACGTTTATTGCTACTTAAACAGCACATATTTCATTATGCATGCAGGCTAGCTATGCCCTCTTACTTTTACGTTTATCTCTTTTTCACGTGTGTATAATTGCGTATAATAGTTATTGCTATATTGGTCGGGCAGAGTATCTAGTTTGGTCTAATAACCAATTGGGTGCAGATTTGAAATTACGAAAATAGAGTTGAAATAATTTTGTCAATAGTTTTTCCAGTGTGACTAATATATTTAAATTTTAAATAAATACAATAATAAATTAATTAAATTTATGTGCAGATATGTAATTATTAAATTCCGAATGAAAATTTTTAAAATGAAAAATCTGACCTAAATGATTCATAAAGATGATATGGACATTGCTAACCCAATCGTTTGTTTTTTTGCCATGAGAAGTACTTCCAAACAAATTCAAAACGAATACTGAGAACAATAGAACCACCCGAACCATTTTAACAAATATCAACAAGGATAAGCCGATGAAAGCAGGTGCAACAAAGACAATAAATATTTGCATTAAAAATTAGAGACATGTTTATTTTTTACCAGAAGTCTTTGACAATTGAGCAACAATCACTATAATGTTAATCTCAATCTGGTCGAGTTGATTGAAGTCACCCCAATGATCAGTTTTGAGTCGCTCCCCAACACAGTGTTGGAGAGTTCATCGATGTAACCCATCAAGGAGGAATCTTTGTATGATAGATTTTTGGGTGGATAATAGATGGCACAGGTGAAGTGTGATTCGCTATCAATGATGCATTTGAGACAGAGGGTTTTCAATGCATCAATGACAGAATGAAGTGAGATGGATACAATGCAATACAATATTTTATTTGGCCACAAAATTTGATAAAATCAAGAAAATCAAGAGCAGTCCTTGAGGAGTCCTTGAGACTTATCGAGCACAGCCACCTTTTCAAAATATGATATATAATTGTCAGTTTCGTATGCATATATATATATTTATACATTCAAATATACATATATACATTTACATACATACACACATATATATACATACATACACACATCAATCCCGGTTCTCAAGGAACCATCCGGCATTTCTGCGCATGATGGTAGGCGCCCGGACGGATGCACACTAATACCTTAGAGAGCCGGTAGATGTTTGGCGTGGGATGTTACGGTCCCTGGCACCCTTGCCGAACGATATGTAAACCTGACAAGTAAAGAATGCGGTTTGGCCGCGGCCAGGGCAGCGGACGAGAAAATGAAAAAATATGGGAACGCCCTCCCCTCGATGGAATTCTTGCCAATATGTATCGAGGTTCTCGGCCCGATGGACCCCAACACCCTTAAATTTCTTAAGGCAATATGTAAAATGATCAGCGTCAGATCAAGCGACAGCAGGGAACTGTTTTTCGCAACTAACCACATTTCATGCTTGTTGCAGCGGTTCCTGCGTGTCTGTGTGCTTGAAAATATCCAACTGAATGCCGACATGTGCAATTAACGACAAATCAAAGTGTTAATCCATTTGTTACTTGATGTTTGACGGTTCAGTGTCACTCATCATGTTTTGGTTTTAACATACATACACACATACTTACAAGATAAGCAAATATATACAGACAAGTACAGTCATATATTAAAACAAATAAGCCGCAAACTTACCAACATATTATACATGAATACACATCTACATGTCATTACCAAAAATAATTGACAAAATTTGAACTTTCACAAAAAACAATTTAATAATCACAATCACAGTTTATTAAAAACAATTTCAATTTATTTTTTAAATTTTTCACATGAAAGATATCCACAGGAAAACCTATTTGTAAAACGTGGTTCCAGCTTCTTGGACCCCTGCATATGATATGGCTGAAGAGCATATTTGTTTTTTAATTATTCGTCTTTAAATAATTTTTTCTTCTCTTTGCGTTACAGTAATCGTAGTAATGGCTGAACATCTGTGGTAATTTATTCAAAAGTTGTTTGTAAACAAAACAAACTGCACAGTGTAGCTTTAGTTGGTTGAATTATTTGTCTGCTGAAAAAGAGGTTTTGCATGAGTGAGTTTTTTGATAGTGTTATTGTCCTAATTGCTCTTTTCATTAATATTATTATTGGATTTGTTACTGTTGAACATGTACCTGACCAGATAATATTACAATAAGAAACATGCGGCAAAACTATAGTGTTGTAAAACATATCCAAGCATGATTTTGGTAAATAAAATTTGATTTTGTTTATGACCCCAATCGGTCTTGAGAATTTAAAACAGATGTTAAGAACATGTGGCTTGAATGATAACTTTTGGTCCAACATAACTCCCAAAAATTTTACTGTCTTACTTTCTGTGATGAGAGTATTGTTGACTATGATTTTATATGGCTCCTTGTAATTCATATAATTTACTGGCCCAAATACCATCATTTGGGTTATCTTCTCATTTAGCGTCAATCTATTGGGATTAAACCATGAAACAATATGTCCTAATTCGACATTTGTTTTCTCTATTAGTTCCTGTGAAGCAATCAGCAGTCGATAATTCATTCCAGAAAATCTTGTTCGACTTGTGATGGAAATGTATACGAATACTAAGACTCTCGTCAGCATAACGGTTGGAAACACAGATGCATTTGACATATCTAGGTAATATTCTGGATTGTACTGAAACAGCTGAAGCTGCCGTTCGAGCACGCATACGTGCAGCCTAGAATAAATGGCATCTCCTTGCCTCTATATTGATGCGGCGTGACATCCTACTACCACTACGATCAAGACTTTATAAATCTTTGATACGTCCGGTGTTGTTATATGGTGCAGAAACATGACCAATGACAACCAAACTGGAACAACATGCTCCGATGGATGTAACGAATTGATCTGAAGGACCACATCAAATCCACCGAAATCTTGCGTCGTGCTAGTTCAGATGATATAAAGGATGAATACCGGCAACACCGTCTGCGGTAGTTTTGGCCATGTCAAAGGAAGTGGAAACAGTGCCATAACTTCTCTTGCAGATGTTGAAGTAACAAATTTCCACTCTCTAACAATAACGTGTCTTGGCAGAACTTTTGGATTTTTTATCTTTGCATTACTACTGCTTTCAATGCACACTCTAAACATAGTAGAGTGTTCATCATCATCTTTAACATCATCTGCTAAGTTTTTTGACGTTTAAAAACTGGATAACATGTAATGACATATATATCCTGTGATTTCAGAAAATTTTCAACATCAGTTCTGTGACATAGTTTTATATTACTCATAAAGTAAACAGTTTTTTGATAATTTGTTTATCAGCTTGTAACTTACAATTTTCAGCAACTTTATTTTCAATTATTTTAGTCTGAATTGGCAAAACCGGTTTATGAGATAAACTTTGACTTTTACAAATTTCAACATTTTCACAAGTCCTGTATATTTTATTTTTCTTTTAATTTCTATTAATTAAAGTAAATGGCAGTTCATACCTCTCTGTTGGTGTAGGGACACTGTTTGACCACAAATAGATGATTTCAAATAGATGGCATGCTTGTCTGAGCGATGTTTTCTGAAAGGTGTGTAGCCGTCGATAGCAATCAATATATCCCGGTGGTTGGGTGAAGATGAAAAACATCATATCTTAAATGTTCAATAGCATGTGGCTTGACAATACTAGTGACATTCAAAATGTAGATAATGGGTCGACAGTGACATGGAGTGATTTTGGCTGAGTTGAAAGTCGGTGTGAATTTGATGTTGATGATATTACAGTGATTAAATGATTATATATTGTTACAACCACCTGAATGATCAAATTGCGCTATATTATTATTTTAATTATTGTTATCTTTGCTAAATTTGTAACCTTTGTTTGGAAGATTGTAAAACGATATTTGTAATCTTTTGATCGTAAAAATTTTCCATTTGGGTTTTATAAAGGTCCTGCGTAGATTCAGAAAACAGTTAGGGTTTTTAGCGAAGTTTGAAGCGAAGTCGTAAATGTGATTTATTTTCCATTCGGGATTTATTTTCCATTCGGGCGTAGATTCAGAAAAAAGTTAGGGTTTTTAGCGAAGTCGTAAATGTGATTTATGTAGTTACATGGATTAGTTTAATGCTTCTATTACTGTTGGCATTCAAATAAACGTTAAACAAAGTTTGAAGCAGTTGTGTTTATCTATTGGAAATGACGATCGTCGGAAGCTACAACACTGGTGTTGAAAATAAAAAGATCTTTGAAGTTATAACATTAGTGTTTGGTAGTTACGAGCGGCCTACAACATTGGTGTCAGAAGTAAAACTTTTAATAGATCGAAGTTTTCTGCAATAAAGAATGCCATCGTTAGAAGAACTCAATGCAACTAGTTTGAGAAAAGAACTACGACAACGAAATCTTGAATCGAAATGAACGAAGGCAGTTTTGGTATAGGACGCTCTAATAAAAGAAGAAATTGATCCAGATGAGTTCGATTTTTCGGACCCTGTAGAACAACAAAACGACAAGATCGTCGTAATGAATATAAAACTCGACGAGCAGGCAGCCGTATTACTAGCGACCAATAGAAGAACATCAACTAATGAAGTTTTAACCAAAAACAACACAGAACTAAGTTTGGATAACAAACCGGAAAAATGAAAAGTTGTGCCTGAGCCAGCCAGCAATGGGCATACAAGATTCTGACATCTTACCAACTACCTGTAATTAGGCTACATTAGCGATCGCAAGTCAATCCTTCCCACGGGTGATTTCGACTGCGATGCACCTGATAATTACGACGCACGTGATATCTGCGACGCCCGTGACAAGTGTGACGCACGTACAACTGTGATGCAGGCGACAACTGCGATGCACGGGTTGACGTGCAGAAAGGTAGCTATCGTGATGATGAAGATGATGACGGAGGCGACGATTATTTAAATGGTAACAATGTCAGCGAAAGTGATGCTAATGTGAATGTTCATTCAAGACACAAACTGGTGACAGACGATATTCAAGCTTCGAAATAACCCCTACAAAATGCACCTGGAACAACAGCTTGGTTCTCGTCTACCTGGATGATGACATCAATGACGGCTTCATTGCTGATGAGGATGAGATTTGCATCAACGACAAATTTTAAAATATGCATCAAAGATATCCGTCTCGTCATTCTACACCTCGTAAACTCCCAAGGAATTGGAAATATAGGTACAAGGTCATATACAGGACCTATGATCATGGAAGAAAATGGTCTAAGATGAAAGTTGTCCATTAGAATAGATTAGCCCCTATTTATCGAAATAAAATATAACGCCTATGTGTGGGACTAACAGGCCAAGGTGGGGGTAATGTTATAACCGCTTAAAGGTTAAAATATCTTAATTATATTATTACAAGCTATATTATTTTCTTTGCTATATTTGTAATTTTTGAATAGAGATTTCCAGTAGTTTGATGATTGTATGGGGTTGTTGTACATCGACGATATATTTTTTGCCTGCAACAACCCTAATACAAACACCAAACTACTGAAAATATACAACAAATCCAAATTAAAATTTACTATAGAAAAATCAACTGATAATAAATTAACATTCCTAGACGTGCTTACAAACAAAGAAAATAAATTCACAACTACTGTCTACACAAAACCAACAAACAAAGGACTCTGTCTCAATGGGATTAGTGAGTGCACTGAAACAGTCCTAACCAGTACGATTAGTGCCTTCGTCAACATGGCGTATACTCACCCATCAAAAGCCGAAGATAGAGAAAAAGAACTCCAACGAGTAACTAATTAATTAATAATGGATACAAACTATCAGAAATAAAGAAAATAATTCACAGCAAAGAACAACAAGAAATTTAACAGGTTATGGGACCCAGATAACGTTTTTCTTAATTAATTGATTTGACGAAGAAAATTTTGAATAAAGAAATATCGAAAGATTCCTTTGTGAAGACTGAAATGAAGAAAAAACACGTGCTTCTTCATTCTCTGAAAGTCGATATTCTGCTTCTAATTAAAAGGTCAAATTGAAAGACAAGGAAGAAATGGATCTAACAAAAGTGCAAATCAAACACCTAGAAGGCAAAAGTAATTGGTTGAACTGGAAGTCGAGAGTTTGTATAATACTACGCGGCATTCCTGATGCAATGGACGTAGTAAATGGCAAATTAAAAGTTCCAGATGAATTAAACGATGACTCAAATGAAGATAAGATAGCAAAATATCAAACTGCTTTGAACAGATTCAATAAAGCAGATTGTAGTGCTATGATTATTCTGTCAACTAACATGATCGATGAAACGTATGAAAAAGTTCGTTCATTCAGTAATGCCAGAGATGTTTGGTTAGAACTTCACAGATTGTACGATGAAGTTAGTGAAGATAAAGCATACAACTTATGCATGAAGTTATTTAGTTATAAAATGGATGAAAGTGGTGATGTTGTCACTCATGTTACAAAACTCAAAAATCTTTGGAAAGATTTAAAGGCTGAGTTAGGAAAAGATGAAAACAGTGACTTGTTGCTGATGTGTCAAATAATTGAAACTCTGCCAGAAAAATATTTTTCATTTGCTGCAAGTTGGAGATTGTTGAACAAGACTGAAAGAACAGTCGAAACACTCACAGATCAATTGTGTAGCTATGAGAAATTTTTGGAAGGCAAAACTGAAGATAATAAAGTATTATTTGTCAAACCAAAAACTAAATGGTCATCTCAAGACATGAAAGGTCAGGAACAAGATAAATTTGTCAGCAAATCAAAGCGGCTGATATGTCATTATTTCAAATTGTCAGGTCACATTGTAAGAAATTGTGAAAAATGGCATTCTGAGGGTAGACCAGCAAAACCAAGAAATAACAATCTACGCGATGACAATAAATCACTAGTTGTTATGGAATCAAGTGTTTTTGCAATTGATGAGTCAGCGTACACTGATGAATGGTTTTTTGACAATGGTGCAACGTGTCATCTAACTTTCAGAAGTTTTGAAAAATTTTCTCAACCGAGTAAATTATATGCTGCAAATGGTGATACTGTAGAAGCTTTTGGAAAAGGAATTATTCATCTTCAAGTGAAAAAAATAATAAATGGCAAACTGTTAAACTCACAGATGTCTTGTATGTGCCAAAAGTAAAAAGAAATTTGTTCTCCGTACTTGCAACTCAAGATAAGAACAGAAATAGCTCTTTTGTTTCAACCTCAAGAAGTTGTCGTCTACTTATTGACAATGTGATAAGTGTTGTTGGAATAAGAAACAACAACAGAGGTTTGTTCAAACTTGTTGCTAAAACTGTTAGACCGTTGAATTCTGAAGTTGAAGTTAACGTTGTCAATGATCAAGATGCATTGCAGTTATACCATGAACGAATGGGACATCAGAATAAGTAACGTGTTAAAATGCATCGATCAAGAGATGTTATTTTTGATGAGAAGGTTGTCAAACCAAATTTAGTGATTTTGCAAGAAAAATGTTGTTTAGATGATACAGTTTCGATTGATGTTGAAATCAAAGATGAAAATAAAGAAACTTTAATTAAAGAAAGTAATTCAACTGATGAAAGTGTTCACAACCGTAGTTCAGTTTTATCTGATGAAGAAGATCAATCTGATTGTTGTAATCAAAAGACCAAAGGCATGGTTTTACGTGACAGGAATAATATCAAAAAGCCATCTTGTTATGATTCTTTCGTTATGTCTGCATTATGTGAAGTACTTGAACCAGAGAGCTACAAAGATGCCATTCAAAGTGATGAAAAAGATGAGTGGTTTAAAGCCATGAACAGTGAAATGCAGTCATTAGAGAAAAATCAAACGTGGGATTTGGTAAATCTTCCAAAAAGTCATAAGGCAATACCATGCAAATGGGTTTACAAGGTAAAACACAATCCAAATGGTTCTGTTGAACGTTTTAAAGTCAGGCTAGTGGTAAAAGGTTTTTCTCAGAAAAAGGGAATTGACTATGAAGAAACCTATAGTCCTGTGGTCAGAAGTTCAACTATAAGAACACTATTAAGTGTTGCTGCAAATGAAAAAATGTCACCCATGCAGTTTGATGTGTCAACAGCATTACTATACAGCAAACTAAATGAAGATATTTACATGGAACAACCTGAAGGTTTTAAAGATACTTCAGGAAGAGTCTGTAAACTTTAGCGAAGTCTCTATGGACTTAAACAAACTCCAAGATGTTGGAACAAACGCTTTGCTGAATTCTTGAAAAAGAGACATTTCAAACAAAGCGATGCAGATGCTTGTTTGTTCATTAGAATACAAAGAGAAAAGAAACTCATACTTGCACTGTATGTTGATGATGGACTAGTTGCAGGAACCGATAAAGAAGAACTAAAAATTTTTGAAAAAGAATTAAAGTCAGAGTTCAAGATAACATCTAAACCTGCAACATATTTCCTTGGATTAGAAATTAATCAAAATGAGAAGAGAAATATTGAAGTCAGTCAGTCATCGTATACTAGAATGATTCTTGAAAAGTTTGGGATGAGCCAGTGTAAAGGACAATTCCGATTTCAAAATCTGAGGAGTTAGATGAAAACAAAAATGAACACGAGGAAGTAAAATTTCCTTACAGATCAGCAGTTGTACTTGATGCACTTGATGACGGGAACAAGACCAGATATTGCATATGCAGTTGGAGTAGCATCCAGAAGTTTGGAAAAACCCAGCAAGTCCAATGTAGCACAAGTCAAGGAAATTTTCAGATATTTGCAAGGCACAGATGATGTCGGTATTGTTTACAAGTCTGGTCAAAACAATACACTTATAGCCTACAGTGATGCAGATCATGGAGATAAATCTAGTGGAAAATCGACATCAGGTGTAATCTGTATGTTTGAAGAAGGCGTGATCAGTTGGTTTAGCCAACGTCAACCCTCAGTTGCGATTTCAACTACCGAAGCAGGAATCGTTGCCGCAAGTGAAGCAGCTCGTGAAGTGATATGGCTCAAACGATTGTTGAACGACATTGTAGATCTAAAGAAAAAGCCAGAAATGTTTGTCGACAATGAAGCAGCGATTCGTTTAGCACACAATCCAGAACTTCACAGAAGAACAAAGCATATCCACATCAGACATTTCTTTGTCAGAGAAAAGGTTGCAGAAGAAGAAGTTTCAGTTGCGACAGAACTTCAAGTTGCTAATGCCTTGACAAAACCAATGGTAGGACCAAGACTTAAGAATCTGATGTGTGTGATGGATCTTCAGAACATTTATGTTAAGGTCTACTAATGTTTTAAATAAAATGAGAAGGTGTTAAGTTTTATGTTTTATTTTAAAACATTATGATATACATTTATTTTCTTTGGACCAAATGTTTTTTGCTTTGTGTGTAACTTTTCTTTTTCTGTTGATCCGGTTGATAATAAGCAAGTCAAGAACGTTGCTTAGTTTATTTCTCTTCATTAAATGTCTTTCCATATTATATCAATTAATTAAACGATCTACTTGACAAGAAATTTAACACAAAATAATAATAATAATGGTAATAATAATGGAATATAATAATAATATATAGATAATAATGATGATAATAATAACAACAGTAATAATAATAATGACAATAATGATAACAATAATAATAACAATGATAATAAATTGTACTAATTTCGGCCTCACAATTTTGACGCTGTTGTTGCCACCTTGACAACTATCGTTCAAATATTTTAAAATTTTTAAGTTTTTCGTTGTTAAAATTTTTCGTTAGTTTTATGTTCCTTTTTCAAAATTATTTGTACATATTTATAATAATATTAAAACTAAAATTATATATATATATATATATATATATATATATATATATATATATATATATATATATATGTATGTATTCCATTTTATTTATGGCACTGATACAAGTACATGTTTACTTTTTTGTGCTTGGAATAATAAAATAAAAAATAAATATATATATAAAATTATAATATATTTATATATTTTTGGGAAATTTTTTTGATGCCGTAGTATTTTAAATTTGTCTATATGTATGAGTGATTTTGAGTGTCTATGATGAAAGAGTGTGCGCGTAGTATGTGTGTGTGTAAATGTGCATGACGAGGTATGCATGTGTGTGAGTTAGCATGAATGTATGTGTTTGTGCATGATTAGATCTGAATCA